GGGCGACAGTGAAATTCCTTCAAGTTCCAGACAGATGGTCATGAAAGAGCGGTGATGTTGAGTTCAGGTAACTCTTATATGTGACACCCAATATGTGAATTGTTCATTTTCACGCAGATTAATAATCAGTGTGTGATGGCGTTGAGCGGATACTCCGGAAGTTGGGAGCACAAAGTAGAGTAACGAGGAACTTAATTTTTGCTCGAGTGTTGACTGTGATGAAGACGAGAAGGGACTACAGTTGCAGGTGGAGTCACATGGAGTCTGGGAGTAGCAGCGGTGCTCATGGCGTATCTCAAGTCCAATGTACATGGAGGTTCGACGCATGGATGAATCCAAAGTGGTGGAGAATATTCGCCAAGGTGGAGTTTGTTAGAATTGTGTCGAATATTATTGTACAAGGTAGGTTACAGTTGGACTTGGTTTTGGACTGTGTGTAGACAGGGTAGGAGTTGTGTCCTAATAGGACACCTGTATCCTAGGCCTCTCATATATATCGGGGGTAGACACAAGATATAACCTATGCCAACATAATAGCACAGGCACGCGGGGAAGCCGGCGGCGTGTGCCGGCGCCCGGGCGGCCAGGGGTGCGGTATAGTAGCGGTATCACGGGGAGGAGCGCCCGTAGTCAGGCCCCGGGATATAGCCATATCGGTGAACCTCGTTAACAAATCTCGGTATCGTGCTTGTGTGATTGCTTGATTCTTGGTAGATCGATGAAACGCCTCGGATTTATTCTTAACAGATATGTTGTCTTCTTAGTAGTTACGCTCCATTGGTAAACGCTGTCTATTGACAAAAATGTGGTTTTGGGTTGTTGAATTCTCAGACGCGCACATCTGCAATTTAGTTAGGTGCTTCATTCATATGCTCTTGTTTGTTCAGTACAAAAACGGTAGTTAATTTCCGCTAGCTAGCTGTTTGGTTTCAGTTTAATTATTTTGCAGCGCCACATGAAACCACTACTCATGGTCAGCAAAAAGAATGGAAAATTTGGCACTCATCTTAATTCGGAGGGATATATAATCTATTACTCTACGTACAGGGACGGATTCAAGGGGGGACGAGGGGGGGCGAGACCCCCCTAACGATCGCGTCGCCTCGTTCAGAGCGATAAGTTTTTCCCTATTTTTTCTCCTACCCAACTGCTCGTCGCTTCCTTCGCCCCCCCTGTCGCTGTGTCGTTCGTAAAGCCTTAGGATTTAAACAATTACCTACCAGCCCAAAAGCCCAAAAGAACAAAGCATCACGCAGCCCATCATAGGTGAGAAAGGGTCCAATTAGCAGGGCACGCAGCCACGCGCCCACGCACACACAGGTCGTGCTATCGCCTCGTTTCCCAGCCGCCTGCTGCGATTGAGATTCACATCTGCGCTAAAATGAGGAAAAAGGTACTTTATTTTGATTGATAGATTCATGCCTTGATTAGATTAGTCTGCGCTTTTTAGAACCATATAAACATATAGTTGGAAAAACTACAAACATCGGGGAGGAGCTAGCGACAAAGTTTAGCTTGAAGAAATAATTGATACCTTCGATACCGATGCTCGTAAACCCGACTTCGAATTAATACATATGTAATTTTACTTTTTATCTTAGATCAACAGACATGCATTTTACCCCACAAAAAAATACTACTATTTAGATCTCATGATATTTAGTACTGTATGTGTTAATGTATCCTATGATTTCCATCCTTCTAGTTCGTGCCCCCCCTATCACAATTTTCTGGCTCCGTCCCTGTCTACGTATGTCCAACTAAGTGTGTTGCGTTCTAATTATGCTTATGCTTATGGTCAGGTTTATGTGCCTATTTTCTTAACACCTGTGTTTCTCTAGTATACATGGTTTCCTAATTTATTAGACGTTTGTAGTACGCCTCGTAAAGATAATCAAATTGCTCAATATATTGTGCTCAATGTATTCGCATAATAGATACGTATATATATAGTGCCTAATGGGCAGTGACCATAGGGTGTATCTGACGAATTTCTGGGACCTATCCATTTCAAAAAATGTCTAAAGTTTTTCCTTCAATCCTGGGTTGATGTATCTCGTCTTGTACTGATGTGCATTTGACTTGAGCAGGCTACTTGAATGAACTTCTGACATATTTGGAAGATGTTTGTTGGACAATCTAGAAAACCAGAAATGCAGTGTGTTTCAAGCAACAATTCCCTAGTGACCTATCTTCACTGATTTTCAGTTATGCAAATCATCTAACCTCAGGTGCCTTGCTACAAAATGATCATGTTTGAAGAAAAGTTGAGAAAGGTGTGTGAATGGCTAGAGTGGTGACCGTGGAAGCTTAGAGAGAAGTTAGCGATTGGCGCCGATGATAAGAAGAATTTGATGGATGGAGTTCACTCATTTTCAACGGGAAGAAAAGAGCGTGCTTTTATTCCATTGATAGTGTTGTGAAGTGGGCCTTGTATGCTTTGGTGTTGTTATAAGTGTTATATGAACCGTGAGGTTACTTTGCTAAACATTCTATGAACTTACTTGGCACTTTTTCTCTAACGAAAATCAAGGAGGCCATTGTCTCGAAAAGATACTTACCGTGTAACGCAACGCGAAAGTAGAGTCGAAATGTAGACACAAGGACGCAAGTTGTATGTGTGGGTCTCTTCTATTTATTATCCAGTTCTCTGCAGAAAATAATCAAGTATAATTGTGAAGCCTTCCTCTTGATATAGGTGGCTTGCCACGCATGTTGGGTTGCTCCCCCTGTCAACAGTGAGCACCGTGACGGTGGGTGGGAGCGGGACTCGGTGGGGGGTTAACACTACAAAAAATTGTTCATAATTTTTTTAAATCATTGATTTGAAAAAAGGTTCATGGATTGTAAAAAAGTTTACACATTTTTCTACGAATTCAGGAAAAAAAACACGAATTTAAAAAAATGACAAATACAGGAAAAAGTTCATGAATTTAAAAAAATGTGCACAAAATTAGAAAAATGTGAAAAGGAAAAAAAAAGAAAAATGACCAAAACACAAAGAACAGAAAAATGTGAAAACAAAAACTTATGGAAGCTACCTAAAACCGGTCCAAAGGGAAGCCTACATGGGCCGGCTCATCTAACACAACGGTCCGTCTAACTTGGAGGGTGTTTGTTTCCAGGGACTTATTGGTCTAGGGACTTAAATAAGTCCCTATAAGTCCCATCTAAACCAAACAGGAGGGACTTATAGGGACTTAAAGTTGGCATTTGGGACTTATGAAATAAGACTCTCAATGAGGGACTTATAGGGACTTATAGTTGTAATATGGTCTTATAGAGACTTATAAGTCCCAGAAACCAAATAGGTAGGGACTTTTTAGGGACTTAGCACTTATAAGTTGGGACTAAAAAAAGTCCTAGGACTTATGAACCAAACAGGGCCTTGGGCGCTCGCTAGCTAGCAGAAACAATAGTAATTTCAGACGTTGTACATTGCCATTCTGGTCTCTATCTTGCCAGAGTGGAGGATCGATTCGGGCCTGGCTTCAGCGTGAGCAATGAGCAGGACGGGACGAAACCTGCACGAGCGGACACCGTGGTAGGAGGCAGGGGAGCAGTGTGCAGGTTGCACGTTGGGTCGCCCCCCGTGCCGACAAGGGCTGAGCGCCACAGGGTGGGTGGAGGCGAGACTCAACGTCGAAGCAGTAGAAGACGTTGGCCGGCTACTATGAGTGAGACCGCATGTATTGTATTGGGTTCTTTTTAGTCCCACGCTGCAATTTTTCTGAAATTTCCACCTTTTTATAAGTGTTTGGCATAGAGATGGTATCACTAATTAAGGAGCAGAGATGATAGGAGTATGCAGGTCTATTATAAGGGTATACGAATACGGTCTAGGGTTACATGAGGCGAGAATGGGGAGGAGCTATGCTCGAAGGTTTGCGAGGGTAAGGAAGAGGGAATGCTTTGCCAGTCTGCGGGCCGTATAGGGGAAGCTAGAGTTTTGCTACACTTACGGAAGCAACTTACGGAATACATCTATGGATGCAAGGTGGGCTTATCTGATTTAATTATGAGGGGCCTCACCATTTGAAATCGGGGGGAGGGGGGGGGGAGGTTAATGTGAATTAGGCCACGTCCGTCCGTAGCGGGGGATCCGTTAAATAGTCACCGTAGGTGTAGCATTTCTGGGGGAAGCTATGCTCGATGGTACGGCTGGGCTGCTGGGTGGAGAAGGGTATGCTCGGCCGAGCGGTCGGGCTGTGGGGATTGGGAAAGGGCATGCTTAGCGTGACTGTTGGGCGATGGGTGTAGGGGAAGGGTATGATAGCCAGACGGCTGGACCACGGTGGCATATTAGGGGAAAATTATGCCTCTCGGGAAAAATGGCATAAATGGGGTAAGGGGAGTTCGATTGAAGCAAACTTTGCACCCCATTTCGTAATGAAAATTCAGATGCAAGACGTCATAATTAAGACCTTTTCCATCCCTATCTCCACATGGCACACTGCCTGGATTATGTCGTAAGTGAGCTCAACGTTGGAGTACAAGCGAAAAAACGAAGACACCGTGTGGAGTACAAGCGAAAAAACGAAGACACCGCGTGGAGTCTAATGGCATGCTCCTTTTTTAAAAATTATTACACGGCTTGTTTGATACCCTTTGGAATAGAACAAACCTGCTACAATCAGCTGCTCCAACTGAAGAAACAAACGATAGACACAAGCCCATGTGCTCACACTCACGGGTAGGTTGGTGAAACGTCATCTTAGCCGGCCCGGCCCTGTTGAGCAAAACGTGCCTGCGAACCCTAAACTCGAGCTGCAATTGTGAGAGCTAATTAATGGGTTTCATCGAATCCTTCTTCACGCGCAGATTTATAAGTAGGAGAAAATCATCAAGCACAAGCAGAATATCACATTGATACGACAAGATATCACACAGCGCCTACTCAACTCATTCATGCAACCTCCCAACAATTTCGCTGTATATACTATCCCAACCTAGCCTGCAGCCGCTGCTCCTTTCACACTTGCTGATCCAGGAGACTTGCCATGGCTGCTGCGACGTTGCTCTTGGTGCTCACGGTCATCGCCCTCGGCTCCGGTCACGGCCAGGCTTTCGACCCTAACCCTCTCCAAGACTTCTGCGTCGCCGACACCATGTCCAAGGGTAAGCAAAATACCGTGCTTGTGGCTTCTACATGAAAATGTGATCATCTATGGTGATATACGCGTGTGTATGCCTGCCTACAGTGCGCGTGAACGGGGTGCCGTGCAAGGACCCGGCGGCGGCGGTGGCGGACGACTTCTTCTTCGCCGGCGTGGACAAGCCCGGCGGCGGCGCGGCGAGCAAGCGCTTCGGGTTCTCGGCGCTGACGGTGCAGATCCCGGGCCTGAACACGCTGGGCGAGTCGCACGCCCGCGTGGACGTGGCGCCGGGGGGCGTCTTCCCGCCGCACTACCACCCGAGGGCGGCGGAGACGGCGCTGGTGCTGGAGGGCTCCGTCTACTTCGGCTTCGTCTCCTCCTACCCGGACAACCGGCTCTTCGCCAAGGTGCTCCGCAAGGGCGACGTCTTCGCTGTGCCGCAGGGGCTCGTGCACTTCCTCTACAACAATGGCACCGCGCCGGCGGCCATCTACGCCTCCCTCAGCAGCCAGAACGCCGGGCTGGTGCTCCTCGGCGACGCGCTCTTCGCCGGGGCCATCCCCGACGACCTCCTCGCCAAGTCGCTCCTCACGGACAGGTACACCGTCGGGAGCATCCGGGCCAACTTCCGGCGGCCTTGATGCATGGCCGGCCACGCTGTTCCGATCTCCTTGTATCGCATTCTTCGTAATTTCTGCGGGCACAATGATCTGTAGCCGTTTCTTTGCGATAAGAAACATCTGCGCCGGATTTCGAAATAAAATATCGGCACTTGTAATGAGCGAACGTTCGCCCTCTAACTCCCACCTGTGTCAGTGTCACCGTGTGAGCCGGTCGACCGTTCGACGTCATCCGTGCTTTTTCATGGTTAACCAGTGAACAGCATCACCGCGCGCGCCTCTGAGCAGCGGCACGGCGAGCGCTAGCCACCACGCCCGAAGCAGCTGCTCCAGCACGGTGGCCAAGCCGGGGGTGAAGTTAGAAGTAAATGGCTGGCCAGTCGACCGAGTGCGTGAACGCCTAGCCGGCGCCGGCCAGCATCGGCTCAAGCTGGCGTGTAGGACCACCACCGACGTTCAAACAACAATTGAGAATTAAAAAATGTTTGTCAATTGAAAAAATTCCATGGATATGAAAAAAGTACACTAGTCCAAAAATTGTTCTTGGATTTGAAAAAAAACGTGAATTAAAGAAAATGTTGGGGAATTCAGAAAATGATCATGAATTCAAAAAAAATCACGAGCTCAAGAACTATTCACTGAACACTTATTTAATATATGCTGCACTTTTTTACATACAATGCTGTTTTATTTACAGTGAATTTACAATTACACACTGAACTTTCTTAATATGGTGAACATTTTTACAAAATACACACTAAACCATTATTTAATATATGATGAACATTTTTTATATATAGAGTGAACTTTTTTTAATACAGTGAACTTTTTTACAAAATACACACTGAACTATTATTAAATATACAATGAACTTTTTTAATATAGGTTAACAATTTTCACTAATTCTTTAATCTGAACAATTTTGAAAAGCAAACAATTTTTATAATTTGTTTATTTCGAAATTTATGATTAAAGTAAACAAAAATATTAAATAAAAAACAAAAAAGGTAGGAAAATAAAAGAAAACCACGATTCAGGAACCTTCCACAATGGTGGTATCTCTTGCTTCGCCACAAATCCTACTGGGCCGGCCAATCTTCATATGTTAGTGAGCGATCAAATATTTATTGCTCGCAGCAAACGATATATTAGTATTCCCCAGATATTAGTGGCCAAAGCAAACCCAGCAGCCGTTGGGCTGAGCAGCGAGCTAGCCGAATACACACAAACTGATTCTAGAGACAGCATGAGAAAACACGTTCTGGAGTTTAAAAAAATGTTTTATTCTTCGTATGCACATATGGATATTCAGTACATGTAAAACTTGATGGCAAATACGAGTGGATATATGACGGATGTGAATTTAGTAGGACCTCCTCCTCCTCCCACGAATCTCCCGCGAGCATCCGGCAGGCTAACCCAAGCGCCGTCTTCGCCCTCCTCCTCCTCCTGCCCCGCCGCAGCCAGGGGTGCGCGCACGCGAAGCCCGTGCGTCGCCGCCACCGGCTGGGCTCCTTCATCTTCTCGCACGGGGGGTGCGGGCGCGGGCCGGATCTTGCGGGCCGGGATGGGACGCTTGATGCCGGGCGCGACGACGGTCTGGAGCGGGACGACAACGGTGGCATGGCGGCCGTGCAACGGGTGGCGTGGTGGTGGTGTAGGCCAGCAGGTGGTGAAGGCGGCGACGGCTTCGTGGCGGCGCATCCGGACCCGCCCTGACGCTGCGGGTCATGGGCGGCCTCTCTCGCCGTGGCACGAAGGTGAGGGAGCGGGGCGACAATGGTGGAGGTGGGCGGCCCTTGTCCAGTCGGGCCCTTGCGGCTGGACGGCGATGCTCGGCGCTGGAGGGCCTCCCTGGTGGGCTACCTTTGGCTATGGTCGTAGGTCAATTGGGTATCCCTCGTAGGTGGGCGCTCGGTTGCTGGTGGCCTCGCAGGGATGTGTGCTGGCTGACATGGTGGGCGACTCGGGGGTTTGTTCGATGGGGATGTCGGTAGGAAGGATGGGTGACTGATGACCCACAAGTATAGGGGATCTATCGTAGTCCTTTCGATAAGTAAGAGTGTCGAACCCAACGAGGAGCAGAAGAAAATGATAAGCGGTTTCCAGCAAGGTATTTTCTGCAAGTACTGAAATAAGTGGTAACAGATAGTTTTGTGATAAGATAATTTGTAACGAGCAACAAGTAACAAAAGTAAATAAGGTGCAGCAAGGTGGCCCAATCCTTTTTATAGCAAAGGACAAGCCTGGACAAACTCTTATAAGATATAAAGCGCTCCCAAGAACACATGGGAATATCGTCAAGCTAGTTTTCATCACGTTCATATGATTCGCGTTCGGTACTTTGATAATTTGGTATGTGGGTGGACCGGTGCTTGGGTACTGACCTTACTTGGACAAGCATTCCACTTATGATTAACCTCTATTGCAAGCATCCGCAACTATAACAAAAGTATTAACCATAGCATGAAACATATGGATCCAAATCAGCCCCTTACGAAGCAACGCATAAACTAGGGTTTAAGCTTCTGTCACTCTAGCAACCCATCATCTACTTATTACTTCCCAATGCCTTCCTCTAGGCCCAAATAATGGTGAAGTGTCATGTAGTCGACGTTCACATAACACCACTAGAGGAGAGACAACATACATCTCATCAAAATATCAAACGAATACCAAATTCACATGACTACTAATAGTAAGACTTCTCCCATGTCCTCAGAAACAAACGTAACTACTCACAAAGCATAAACATGTTCATAATCAGAGGGGTATTAATATGCATATAGGATCTGAACATATGATTTTCCACCAATTAAACCAACTAGCATCAACTACAAGGAGTAATTAACACTACTAGCAACCTACTAGCACCAATCACGGACTTGGAGACAAGAATTGGATACAAGAGATGAACTAGGGTTTTGAGAGGAGATGGTGCTGATGAAGATGTTGATGGAGATTGCCCCCTCCCGATGAGAGGAGCGTTGGTGATGACGATGGCGATGATTTCCCCCTCCGGGAGGGAAGTTTCCCCGGCAGAAGAGCTCCGCCAGAGCCCTAGATTGGTTCCGCCAAGGTTCCGCCTCGTGGCGGCGGATTTTTGTCCGAGAAGATGTCTTATGATTTTTTCCCATCGAAAGACTCCATATAGCAGAAGATGGCCACCGGAGGGCCATCAGGGGGCCCACGAGGTAGGGGGGCACGCCCGAGGGGTAGGGCGCGCCCCCACCCTTGTGGGCAGGGTGTGGCCCCCCTAGTGAACTTCTTGTTCTCAGTATTGTTTATATATTTGGAAAACATCTTCCGTGAAGTTTCAGGACTTTTGGAGTTGTGCAGAATAGGTCTCTAATATTTGCTCCTTTTCCAGCCCAGAATTCCAGCTGCCGGCATTCTCCCTCTTTATGTAAACCTTGTAAAATAAGAGAGAATAGGCATAAGTATTGTGACATAATGTGTAATAACAACCCATAATGCAATAAATGTCGATATAAAAGCATGATGCAAAATGGACGTATCAACTCCCCCAAGCTTAGACCTCGCTTGTCCTCAAGCGAAAAACCGAAATCGAAAAATATGTACACATGTTTAGAGATAGAGGTGTCGATAAAAATAAAATACGGACATGAGGGCATCATGATCATTCTTAGAACATCAACTTATATAATTCTTGTCATATGATCTCTAACGCTAGAGTAATAATTCAATCACAATATCAAGTATGAATCGTAAACTTCATTGAAAACTAAAAAACTACTATCTCAGTCATTGAAGCAATTGCAATTTATCATAACATAGGAAAGAGTCAATGTAAAAGAGCTTTTCAGCAAGTACACATACTCAACTATCATATAATCTTTCACAATTGCTGACACTCACGCAATACTTATGGGTATGCAGTTTTAATCAGATACAGAGAAAGATAGGGGCTTATAGTTTTGCCTCCCAACATTTTACCTCAAGGGTAATGTCAACAGTAATAGTTCATGAAAACTCACATCCAATTAGCCATATATACCAGGATCTTTCCAACATGTTGTGCTTGCCAAAGGATAAAGTGTAAAAAGGAAGGGTGAAAATCACCACGACTCTTATGCAATGTAGGAGATAAAAGTAAAAGATAGGCCCTTCGCAGAGGGAAGCAGAGGTTGTCATGCGCTTTTATGGTTGGATGCACAAAATCTTAATGCGAAAGAACGTCACTTTATATTGCCCCTTGTGATATGGACCTTTATTATGCAGTCAGTCGCTTTTATTACTTCCATATCACACGATCGTATAAGCTTATTTCCTCCACACCAATCAATCATACATATTTAGAGAGCAATTTTTATTGCTTGCACCGATGACAACTTACTTGATGGATCTTACTCAATCCATAGGTAGATATGGTGGACTCTTATGGCAAGACTGGTTTGAGGATGTTTGGAAGCACAAGTAGTATCTCTACTTGGTGCAATGAATTTGGCTAGCATGAGGGGGAAAGGCAAGCTCATCATGTTGGAAGATCCAAGACAATATAATTCATCTCAGATGTAAGAAAACATAACCCAGTATGTTGTCTTCCTTGTCCAATGTCAACTCTTTAGCATGTCATATTTTAATGAGTGCTCACAATCATAAAAGGTGTCCAAGATAGTATATTTATATGTGAAGACATCTCTTTCTTTATTACTTCCTATTAATTGCAACGATGAGCAAAACTGTGTTTGTCAACCCTCAACAACTTTTATTCATCATACTTTTTCTATGTGAGCTCATTACTCTCCATAAGATTCACATGATCTCTTTGTTTCTTTTTATTTCTTTCTCTTTTCTTTTATTCACTTAGGATCATGGCAAAATAATCAAGCCCTTGACTCAACAGTAATCTTTATTATATAGCTCACGAACTCGATTACATAGAAGGATAATAAAGCAAAACTCACGACTAGATCATACTAAGAACTTTTATTCTACTAGATCAAGATATTACCAAAAGGATCGAACTAAGAAAAAAAGGTAGAGATAAAAGTGATGGT